GACACCCATGTGGTGTCACCATATCCAGTAGAACCCATGAAGCCCCCATACCCCAAGTGGTATGATGAGAATGCGTATTGTGAATATCACGGCGGAGTCCCAGGGCACACAATTGAGAACTGTTACGCATTCAAGAGGGTTGTACAAAAGATGCGTAACCAGAACTGGATCGACTTCAACAACTTGGGGGCATCCAAGTGAGGAATATCATTTCATCATTTGAGGCATTCTGTTTGACTTTGTTTTTCTTCCATTTTTTCTCAAGTTTTTGTAAGAACATTTTAATCAAATTTATGTTACTTTAAAAGATGTTAAGCAATGGATCATATTTGCAAATTTGCAATTCTTTGCATATCATTTGAATTAAGAAACTCTGTAAGCGGTTCAAAGTTACGAATCTTTGACGAAGTAACATGATTTAAAACAAGGACTTTGACCTTATCCAGAATATACCCTCAAACACCGTACCCCGCTCTTGCAATTAACCAATATACCCTTTTCCTTTCATAAGGTGCGGACAACATGGGGCATCATTAGCATATGACAATTACTATGTTTTTTTATTTAAGATGTTCAATGACGATGATGATCTTTACAAATGAAAGAGTCGAGTAGGTGAATCCAGTTTAGGTCAGTTGCTTGAAAATTGAGCTCTAAAAATGAATTTTTTTTTTTTAACAACACCTAGACTATAACAGGTTCTTCTTGACAATCTTAAGAAATTAAATCCGTAAAAACTGAGCTATTCCACTAAGGCAATTGGTTATAGAGGAAACTTGAAAGCCCTGACCTTATGAGTAGATTACGTTCAAACCATGACATTGCTCGGACACTTGGCAATTCGGTGTTTGCTCCACTGCTCTTGTCAGGCTGAAGACTCTGTGATGAGATGAACCCTTCAGTTAACTTGATAAGAGTGATTATAATATTAAGTTGTCCCTCTAAAGCAATTGGTTAAATGCCCCGGCTTTATGGATTCAGCTAGCCAGATAATGACAAGTTAAATCAAATTTATCTAAGCAAGAAATTTTCGGTAAAATGGACTAAGGGAGTTAAGGAACACCTGTTATAGTCAACTACACACGAGCACTCAAGAATCTCATTTTTAAGACCGATATTTTTTGCACTGCCTTTGTTGGAAGAACCTGCAAATCTTGAACAAATGAAAGATTCCAGAGGATTGAGATAAAAGATCTAGTAATTGATCATGCTAGTTGCGTCATTTTGTCCGCACCCAATTAAAGTACCAAAGCATGCTCTGATATTTAAAAAATGACATTTTTTACCAAAAAACCTTAGAAAGGAGGCCAACCTAAAGCCGACTCGTCCCTTTGAACATTTGTCAAAGATTTGTAACTCTGAATGCGTTAAAAGAGCTCTTGATTCCTTTGATATTTTTTGAACTCACATTTACAATTTGATTCAATTGCGAACAATACTTTACAACATTTTTATCATTTCTCTCTCTCGAAACAAGAAAAAGGAGAAAAACGTTTTCAAACAGAACAATCTCAAATATGAAATGTCTGTAAAGCCCAAGCTCGAGAAGCAAATGGGGCACGATCGATTCCATGGACCAGATTGGCAGGCAAAGCACGAGACTCCATCCAAGAAATAACACATAATTTATTCATGTTGCATGCATCTTAGACATACTTAGGTGCATCACATCCATCATTTTAGCATGTATAATTTTGCAGCTTTCAGAGTCAAGCTTCGACTTCAGGATGAAGGCTACTCGACTTGCAAGCACCTTTAAAGAACGATGGTGTAACTCAGCAGCAAGAAGCTACACCTCAACCGACTCTACATATCTACAGATCTTAGAACCAATTTCATATGGGTTCGAGAACCAATTCAGATCAAATTCAGTTCAGCTCAACTCAACAATGAGCAACATGTTTCCAGTTTATGTCTTCAAGCCAGATTTCAATTCCACGATGGAAAATATCCGGCTGTCAGAATTTATCCGTAGGTTTTCCCAGACTAGCTTAGGGGGACCACCGGAAGGATCATGACCGTTTTCGACCCGTAAAGGGAAGTTTTTTTTAACAAACTATTTGCAGCTTAGCTCAAGGCCAGAAGGGCTACCTGCCACCAAGACCTTCGAGTTCGACTACGCTCAGCTCCAAGGCACATCATTTGCAGAATAGCTTAAGTCGAGAAGGGCTATCTGCCAAAGACCCTTAAGTTCGATTACACTCAGCTTCGAGGGCACATCATTTGCAGCATAGCTTAAGTCGAGAAGGGCTATCTGCCAAAGACCCCCGAGTTCGATTACACTCAGCTTCGAGGGCACATCATTTACAGCATAACTCAAGGCTAGAAGGGTTATCTGTGACCAAAAGACCTTCGAGTTCGACTACGTTCAGCTCCAAGGCACATCATTTGCAGCATAGCTTAAGTCGAGAAGGGCTATCTGCCAAAGACCCCCGAGTTCGATTACACTCAGCTTCGAGGGCACATCATTTGCAGCATAACTTAAAGTCGAGAAGGGTTATCTGCCAACCAAAGACCTTTGAGTTCGACTACGCTCAGCTCCAAGGCACATCATTTGCAGAATAGCTTAAGTCAAGAAGAGCTATCTGCCAAAGACCCGAGTTCGATTACACTCAGCTTCAAGGGCATAACATTTACAGCATAACTCAAGGCTAGAAGGGTTATCTGTTAGCAAAAGACCTTTGAGTTCGACTACGCTCAGCTCAACAGCACATCATTTGCAGTATAGCTTAAGTCGAGAAGGGCTATCTGCCAAAGACCCCCGAGTTCGATTACACTCAGCTTTGAGGGCACATCATTTACAGCATAACTCAAGGCTAGAAGGGTTATCTGTGACCAAAAGACCTTCGAGTTCGACTACGCTCAGCTCTAAGACACATCATTCACAATATAACTCAAGGCTAGAAGGGTTATCTGTCAACCGAAGACCTCCGAGTTCGATTATATTCAACTTAGAGGCAAATCAAGTTTACAGAATAGCTCAAGGCAAGAAGGGTTATCTGTCAATAAAATTGTCGAGTTCGATTCCAATAAACTCGATGACACCTCAATCACACTATTGTCCGGCTGCAATCAAGGTTTTCAAGTCGAGAATAACACCTGGGTTAACCGTGCCTTAGTGACAATAAACCGTTTTTCCGGCAGTATAGCTTAAGAAGAGAAAAACTATTTGTCAACGAAGACCTTCGGAGTTCGATTTTATTCAGCTCGAGGGCCTATCAACCACAGGGTGGAGTCAAGAGACTACATTCAAGTCGAATTTTCCAACCCAGATCTTTAAACCGAGAAGAAGACCGAAGTTGACTACAATTTGGAAACGAGAAGCCACATCCAGATTCAAATTCCGAATTGCAGCTTCAATTCCATATCATTTCAATGTAGACTCGACTTCACGACGGAGGAACCATCTACAACTCAATTCGACAGGGAGTTATTCTTCAACTCCACCGAACGAAAATTTGTGTCTTTTTGTCTTTGTCCTATTTTTCGTTTCACGAAAAAGGATAAAGAGGGGCAGCTGTAGACACTAATTTTCGTCCATATTTTTTTATTATTATTTTATACATATATACCTATACATATTATATGGTTTGCAAACGGTTTTTGAAAATATATATATAATATATAGTTTTTAAAAAGAAAACATTTTGAAAATATGGGTAATATATAGTTTTTTTAAATATTTTTGAAAACTATATAACATATAGTTTTTAAAACATTTTAGAAAATATATATAACATATAGTTTTAAAATCATTTTAAAAACTTATATAATATATAGTTTTAAAAACATTTTTGAATAAATTATATAATATATAGTTTTAAAAACATTTTTGAATAAATTATATAATATATAGTTTTAAAAACGTTTTTTAAAACTTATATAATATTTTTAAAACATTTTGAAAACTATATAATATAGTTTTGAAAACTTTTTTAAATATAATATATAGTTTAAAAAATATTTTTGAAATATATGTATTATATAATTTATATTATATCAGTATTATTATTATTTATTTTCTTTTTATTATTTTCTTTTTATGTTTTTTTTCAGGGTCCAAACAGTCCAATAAGTCTCGAGGGCCTGATCCAACCTAAAGTTCAAAGTTAGGGTTTCAGCATATGTTAAGGCACCGCACGAATCAACGGCAAAAAAGGGAAAGGGCACAGGTCAATCTGGACCGTTGGATCTGACCCAATCCAACGGCCAGAAAGCAAGTCAACATCCAGAAGCAATTTCAACGGCCAGAAGCATCAGTCGTCACCGGAAATGAAACCGGTCAAACATGCAACAAACACGTTCCATAACAGAACGCAAATCTCGCAAGAATCGAGTCACAACAGCTCAGTCTCCCACAGGCCGAAAATCGCGCCACCACACGGGACTGACCCATCCCGTGAAGTTCGGTAACGCTCACCGGCCGAGAGAGTATAAATACCCCCAGACAGAACGGGACAGGGGGATCCACGCAAATCTCAGAAGCATAAACATAGTAAACCAAATAACCAAAACAAGATCAACGAGAAACCCAAACGAAACACAAAGCCATACATAATCGCAACCATCAACCAAGAGCAAAAGCATAACAATAAACACAAAAAACCCATCGAAAACAAGTGAAGCCGAAGTCAACAGTATCCAAAGGCGAAGGCTCGGAGTGCATCTCGCCGAAGAAACCACCGGGAAAGTGAAAGGCCATCAAAGGTAACATTTTCTGGGTAAGAGGTTGTAAGGTTTTTGTGTGTGGTTGGTGTTTGTATCCGAAAAGAGAGAAAAGGAGGAGGAGAGAACGGCCAGATTAGGGAAATGAGGGAGAGTGATAGCCAAAATCGCATATAAGGGGTATATAAACCCCCCAAAACGACGCCGTTTAGGTGAGTCTAGGGCATCTCTCGGGTCAACGCATGGGTAAACCGTGTAGAGGGGGCCTTACTTTGTATACGTTTCATTTTGGCCACTTAAAGGAAATCATATTTTACGTTTCAGTCCTATTTCACTTAAGGGAGATCTTTTTGTGTTCCAATTCGACCTTCTATTGCCATTTTATTCCTATTTAGTCACTTCTACATATTTTATAACTATTATTATTATTATTATTTCTATTTCATTATTATTTTCTGTTTTTATCATTTTTTTCGGGATTTATATACATATATATATACATGTATAGTCGTTTTTTTCTTTTTGATTTATTGTTTAATTGATTTTGTATATAGTTTCTATTTATTTATTACAACTATCTTATTTTTTTTTATGTTTTTCTATATATATATATATGTATATATTATTATTTTCGCCTTATTATAAATTATTTTTCCTTTTCTTTCGACTTTTTTTTTTGATTCATTTAATATTTATTTATTGTTATTTTTCCCCCTAACGTTTTTGATTTTTTAGAAGAATTCAACAAATCAGAGGTAAACAATTCGAATTGAATATTTTAAATTTTAATATAATTTTTTATTTTCGCGATTAAGACAACCGACGAATTAATTGGTACCGAAAGGGCGGTTCAAGGGTGCTAATCCTTCCTTGACCGTAACCGACTCCCGAGCCCGACACATTTCTGGTACAACGCAGATCAGGTAAGATGGTGTCCGACCCACCTAAATTCGTTTTAAAGTGGTCGGTGGCGACTCCAATCCCTATTTTTCAAGTCGAAGCCCAATTCCGTGGCCCAACCGAAAGACGGTTGCGACATAACATAATAATAAATTTTTTAAGTAGCCTCGTTAGTAAAAAAATATTATTCTTTCTTAAGTTCAATCATTTATGTTTGTAAAGTATGTATACGTTATTAATTAATTAAAAAATTCTAAATAGATATTACCTTGTAATCATCCCATAATATTAAAAAAATAATTTAATAATAACGCAGAATAATTATATTTATATTATTTTAATATTTTTTTTATGTTTTTTATTAATCTATGATAAGTACTAGGTAGTATATATTTAAAGATAATTCTCAACCATTTGATATTTAACGCTTATACCCTAACATTCATAGTACTCTAACTTAGGATCTCAATGAATTACAAAATTTTTTTTACCATCGTGATCGCTTGAGTCACGATATTTTAATATATTTTAAAACATTATGATATTTATATTAATTAATATTGTCCTAATGGTTAGAGACAACGGACAAGGAGGAGGGCTGAAACGTTAAAGTGGGGAGGAATATGGTCACCTGGACTCAACCCGGACCCATCACGTGGGACCCATCCACCAAGCAAACATTTCGATATTCAATAATAGCAATAGTAAAAATAGGATAGATGCTACGCGATTGGGTGGAGCGTGGAGTTAACTCATGCATGAGATTGCGTTTTGCATATGAAAAAAAAATAGATTTGAAGGTAAAGTTTACGGATAGTACCACAACTATTAAAATTTATAAAATAGTCTATCAATTATAAGATTTTATTTTGTTTAATCTCTCGACTATTAAAAGTTACAAAATGATCGCATAACTACCCATATATTCAAAACTCGTCATTTTCCGTTAAAAGAAGTGGTGACCATTTTAGCTGGGCTTTAACTTATGGATTGAGATATGAAAAAATATGATCCTAAAATCGTTTGAGTTAAATTTTGCGAAACGACTCTTCGTTTACATTATATCATTAAGTAGTGTTTGAAAGCAACAACAATGCCAATAAATATCATTAAAATATGATTTTATTATTTCTCAGTCATAAGATTAACATCCAACATAGACAACCGCTAAACTTTTAATAGAAAAAGATGAATTTAGAACATATAAATAATCAATGATTATTTTAAGTGAAAAGTTATCTTAAATTCATTTTAAATTAAGTTATCAAACCGTGTAACTAAACTTCTTTTGTGCATGGAAATGTTGCACGTTCAAATTATCGAGAAAACTGAAAACAATGCATGTGGGTGTAATATGGTGAGGCAGCCAACCTGGTGGTGTGGTATAGAATCGTGTTGCAGATACGTAGGGTATATGATTGAATTCAACGAGCCCACAGATACCTTAAATGAAAATCACTTTAAACCATGCATCAATTTCTTTTTTAGCATTTTAATATGATTTTATGATAGTATATATATTATATCTTAATACGGTTTTATTACACTATCATTATCATTCTCTTAAAAGATATGTATGATAAGATGTATAATATCACAATTTTTAAATTTTAATATTTCAATATCTTTAAAGTGTGATATTTTTCCTATCTAATCTTGTGATGTCCTTATCACAAGTCATTAACTACAACAAATTTATCAATTTGTGACGAAATTTATGTATGACATTGTGAATAATGTCACAAAATATAAGTTTAATATGATTAATGCAAATTTTTATTCATTGTTATATGTCTTGTTTTTATATGACGATTTGAAAAGACATAATATGATTGTCAATTAATTTTTAGTGTCAATTATTAACATAAAAAATTTGTTAAATTTTTTAGTGACATGTTATTTGTCACTAATTCAAAATTTTATTAGTGACAAAATTTAAAATATTTTTAGATTTTAAACTCGTAATTTCAATCGCTCCTATTAATTTTTTAAAAATTGTGTGCTCCATAAATATTTTATATATGTATATAGATTTAAGTATTTTATTTATATATAACTTAAGAATTCAAAATCTCAAACCATATGAAATAAAATTAATCCAATATTTAAATTTTCTAGCACCCAAGTACGTTTTACACTAAGAAATTAAATTAAATAAGCCATTAAACTGTAAATGTATATTAAATAAAGCTTTTTGATCAATTTTGACCTTTAAATCTTTATATTTTAAAGTTATTTTTCCATGTGACAACATCAAAGTGAATCATATGCCACTCTTTGGTGATGCCATGTGGTGTTTCTAGGTTTTTTAAAATTTAATTTTAAAAATATTTAAAATAAAAATTATGAAAAGATTTTAAATAATATTTTAAAAATATAAAAAAAATAAATTATTATTTTTTTTAATAAAAAATTCAATATTTATTTAAAAAATAAAACATTAAATGTTATTAAAATTATAATAAATATTAAAAATTTAAGAAATATGAAAAACGTTTGAAAAATATTTTATAGCTATCTAAAATATGGAATTTTTTTTAAAATTTTGAAATTTATTAAAAAATAAAAAAATATTATGAAAATAGTAAAAAAAGATTTATTTTTTAAATATAAAATATCACATAATTATTTTAAAAATTATAAAAAATTGAAAAGTTATTATAAAATGTTAAATAACTATTTAATTTTATAAGATATATATATAAGGACTGTTATGAATGTGAGCTAAAATTTAGGTATATGTTATATTGAAAAATTAAATGATTCTGCAACTTATATTTAGGTTCCATTTCATAAACCCTAGATGATTATAGGGTCACGCTTTGCAATATACCCATTACATTAGGTATATGTTATATTTTTGAGCCCTTATTTCATTTAGATTTTCTTCGGCCGTTTCCTCTCCCACATTTCCTGATAAAGCTCCATTTGCCTTGCTCACGCTACTATCGATGAAATATTATCTTCACGAGTTTTACATCATCCTAGTTAGACTACGCAACCAGAACGAAGAACAAAAATGTGGCACCAGTGTCTACTAACAATAAGCCGAGCATGGAATGGTGAGCCTGATGCCCCAAGATTCTCTCTTTCCCCTCTTGTCTGTCACCTTCTCCTGGACGTGCATTTGTGTTAGCGCTGGACAGTTTCCTATTTTTATTTCTCACGTTCTTTAGGGTTTCAACTAAATAATGAATACAAGATTGGCAAGCTGTGAAGCCATAGACAATTTTAGATACTTTTTATTTTAATCTGTAAAAAATATGGGTTATTATTGTAATTTGCAATATGTAGCTTTTTTCATGTAATTTATAAAAAATTACAGGCCATTATTGTATTTTATGGCAAGTTTTTCTTTGATTGTAATTTATAAATAGTTTTGGTATTTATTATAATTTATAAAAAGTTATGGTATTTATTGTAGTTTATAAAAAGTTATGGTATTTATTGTAATTTATAAAAAAAGCTGGCATTTATTATAATTATTTAAAAAAAATTAGGCTTTTATAATAATTTATATAAATATTTAGACTTTTATTGTAATTTAATAATTTTTTATTTTTTATATATTTTTTATAATTTTAAATAAAAATTGTGACAATATTTTTCTGTCATTTATACAGTAAATTTTAATATTATTAGCGACGATATAAATAATTAATGAAAAAATTTTATTTTATTTAGTGACACAAATAAATGTCATTGAACATAAATGATAAGGTGAAGTTATACATAAATGTTACTATGTGTCTAACAATACATGACGATAAAAAGATACAACGTCACACAAGATATTTAGTGACACACCTAGGGTGACAATTGTCGTGACGTTGAATTTTATGTCATAAAATACAAATAGTGACATAAATGTAAGTTTCGATGACGATATTTCCAACGTCAAAAAATAAACAAATTTGTTGTAGACGGTTGTCTGTCATGCCTACCCCATCTATTGAGGTGCTCGTCATGAAATAAGACAATCAAATAGTCACTTTAATATTGCTTGTCACGAGGTTATTATTCTATTCCCGAAGGACATGTTCTATATGTTGTGAATGGAGAAAACTAGCTTGGGAGGATAACCTTCGTAATCAACTTCTACAAAATCTTATCTTTATTAGTCGATCAATGAATTAAATATTGATAACACTACCAAAAAACTCAAAGAACAAATATACATACATATATATAATTCAAAGGTTATCATGATTAATATAAACATTATTATTATTATAACGTGATGATGACTACTATGTAATATTTTGATAAATTTAATGATTATTTTATAATTTTTAAAAGTTTAGTGACTAAAATGATACAAAAATCTTAGTTTAGAGACTATTGGTGTGTTTTACCCACCATTTCTTTCAATGGCGCTTAGAATCCGCCATACTTTTTACATTACAGAACAAGCATTGGGGTTTTCATCACTGAACATCTGCGGAG